GTAATAAAACAAAGCTAAATATAGAAAAATATATATTCATGATTAATTATCTTTACATTTTACATGGGATTATTGTATTAGTTTTTTTAAGTAATCAAGAGTATACAGTTGAGGTAAATAAGAAAAGGAAACAAATGACGAGCATTGTTTGATTAGTTAGGTAGTGTATTATTATTATTACTTGTTTGTTTAAAGTAAAGCAAATATAAAAGATTTCTTTTATTCATTGATTTTAATTATTTAACTTCTTTTTTATTAAAAAACCCTCACTAATCAAGATGAATTTTTATTTTGATAATTGTAATATTTTTTACGTATAGCATCAGAGTTTCAATAACATGATCCGGGATTAAAAGACTAAATTTAATTTGACATCAACTGGATTAGTTTCCTTTTCGCTTTTAATTAAGGAATGCCGAACTAATAAAACAGAAGAAATGATCAAAGTTCCATTTCATTTTACTGTTCTTATTTATCTTTCGTAATTTTCAATTAGCAAAAATCTTATAAACAATGGATGAGTCTTCAAGAAGGATAATTTTTATTTTTATTTCTTATTGCCTTTATGCAGGTTACTTAAGATGTTCACCCATGTGATGGGTTCAAAAAATCAATTTTTTTTCATAAATTGCTTTCTTAACATATCTAGAAAATGGTGGTATAGTAATTTTTTTAAAATTCGAAGTCGTTATAAAGAAGCAGGTGTTAGAAGAGCAGCTGTTCGGAGCGCTAAGTTAAGATTTCCACTGTTTTAATCGGACTTGAAATTTTAAACGCGATTTTCTCAAAACTGTGTTTTTTCAACATTTTTCCATCATATCTCAAGAACGGTTTAACCCAAATGTCTTCAAATTTATAGTGTAGACTCAGAATGAATATACGCACCAAAGGAAATAAGATCGTTCCAAAATTCTGAATATTTTTTTTTATAACAAAAACATAAAAAAAAAACAAAAAAACATGGAATTCGAAACTTCTTCGGAGGACTACAAAAAATTCAATTTTTGGTATTTTCAAATTGAATATAGGCCTTTCCGGGCATTTAGCTTACTGATTAAAACGCTGTTAATTGTTTTTATTTCAGATAAGTCAATCAGCTGGAATCGTGCAGGAAGTGAGCGTTAATTTTTTCGAGGCAGGTGTGTTCAGAGCTCTGTAACTCACGTTCTATTTGATATTTTAGGCTTAACATTCATATATATACTCAAGGAGTCTTAAATTTCTCTAGAGGGCTGAAAATATAAACAATTTCAAACAGGTATAATTCTTTTAAATTTAAATTAAAAAAATTCGAATCTTTTACACATTATTTATAAAGGAATGAGGCTTCAGAAAAAAGGTAAAATGTTTAAAATATTTTCAAAATTTTAAGCATATGAAAATTCTGTAATAAATATTAAGTAATTTTTGCGTTGCGCACGCTATTTTCTAAAATAATAGCCTCTGATGTACAAAGCTTTACAGAATTATAAAATGTGTCATACTCTATAAACCCTACATCATTCAAGAATAATATATCTTTTGTATTTGAAAATATTTGAGAAAATATTTAAATTTTTTTTAAAAATTTTAAAAATGTAGATGTTTTATTTTTTTAAAAAAATATAATTTATTATTCTACTAATATAATATTACTACAGTGTAATAAGAATACATTTAACTTTATAAATCAACTTATAGCTAGTAAGTAAAGCTACTATTTTAGAAAATAGCATTCGCAACGTAAAACTTAATTGATATTTCTTATAGAAATGTTTCTTATTTTCGTACACTTTAATTTTTAAATTTCAAGTACTTTATACTTTTCTGAAGCCTTATTTCTTTATAAATAATGTGTAAAAGATTCGAATTATTTAATTTAAATTTAAAAGAATTATACATGTTTGAAAATTGTTTATATTTTCAGCCCTCTAAGAAAATTTAACACCCCTGAGGGAAATAAAATAAATGATAAAAAAAGTAAAGTTCTATCATTTTAATGATTGTCAAAATCTTTTTCAAAAAATGCTTAAAAAATAGGTCGTCACAAGGGTGAACCACCTTAACACTTAAATCCGCTTGAGCGAGTGTTTATTAAGGACGCACTATAAAACAACACGAGGGCTTCTGGCGACAGACCTCTTAATTTTGAACCGCTGTCAAGTGATGAAGGCGACACATCTGAGCGGACAAACCCACCCCAAAATACCACAATAACGGGAGGTTTTTGAGGTACGTGCATAGGCCCCTCAACACGGCAAACTCTATTTCGCAAAAGTAATTTGGATAAATAATCATTCAAGAAACCATTATGTGTGGATTGTAACTCTCTTTAATACACTTTTTGTCAAAGTTCGGTGAATAGTCTTGTAACATTAACGTAAATGAAGTATTAACGAAAGTTACCTTACTATCCTTCAAAATAATCACCTCCCATAAATATGCACCGCTTAGATTTGTTATACATGTTCTGGAAACTTTGCAAGAAGTGTTCTTTAGGGATAGAGTTCAAAAGTCCGGTCACGTTTCATTGGATGTTAAAAATGTTGTCAAATCTCTTTCCTTTCGAAATGAGCTTGAGTCTTGGGAATAGAAAGAAGTCTGGCAACTATGGTAGATGTTCAATTTTCACCACCATCTTTTTTGCAAGGTACTGTTTGACGATATTGGCTGTGTGAAGGTGACATTGTCATGAACAAAAAACCGTGAACCATGTTTTGTGTACCGGGGTCGTACCCTACGTATTCCCTCCTCCTCCGCACCCCACGTTTGTCTCAACGAATTCATTGTTAATCTACAGTTCATCAGACATCATGCTCACAGTTAATAACGATCTTTCATGATTAATTTTCTCACTTTCTCAATGTTTTTGGGCACTGACGGGTTACCGGTCTTTCGCTATGGGTTTTGTCTGAAACACTTTCCCGGGCCTTGCGAAAATTGGTAAACCGATCATACACACATTTCATGAAATGTGCTTGATCTTCATGAACATGTACCAGCATCGCGTAAGTTCCTTTCGGTGTCTTGCCAAGCTTAAAACCAATCTTTAAATTTATCTTTTGTTCCTTCGTTAAGAACCAACACACTGAACAAGAACATTGTAAAACTAGTCTTACGGGGATCACAAACGACGCTCGTCTGAACAACGGTGGGAGCAGATGGTCAACACCTGCCACTATGCATGTGCAGAGTTTGGTTTCACCAGTGTTTACAAATTGGCCGTTTTGACTTCTTTCATCGAACAGTATTGTCAGAAGTTGTATATCCCTATGTCAGTGCTTCTCAAACTTTCCATATTCGCGCCCCAACTTTCAATCAGAATTTTCATCGCGCCCCCCTTCCCCTTACAATAACAATGTGTTGAATGTAGTACTAATGTATAATACTTTGACGCTAAAGCTACAATACGACCCTAATTTTAAATCGTGCAAAGTATCAAGATAAGTATCAAATTTTGTGCATGATAAACCCATTGAAAAATCACTAGTAATTATTAAACTTGTTCTTAACTTAGTATCAAATATATTGTACTATACTGAGATACATTTATAAGTATACTATAATGTGTATTTTTTTATTATGTCAGAATATATTTTGTTTTGTTTCCTTTTAGTAAATGGATAATTTTTTAAATAATCTTTTATTTTCAACTTTCCGATGCGCTCGCGCCCCCCTTGAAGGGTTATCATGCCCCCTAGGGGGGCGCACCCCACAGTTTGAGAAACACTACCCTATGTTTGTAAAAACTATTTTTGCATAACATTTTTAAAAATTGAGACTTATTTTTATTTTTAGTATTTTTTTTTTAATTGCAATTATTAATTCCTCCGTAAATTGATTGACCTCTGTGAATAATTTGAACTTATCTCACACTTGCTTACGAAATATTTCAAAGTATATCGAAAAAGACCATTTATTTTTTCGTAAAAAATGGGACATGTAAGTAGCATTACATAGATTCAAGAAAAAACACATTTCGTCAAACTTTGTACAAAAATGAGTGTAAATTTCTTAAAAAATTTCACCTGAATAGATAACAGTTTATTACTGCATAATTCCCAATAATTTTAACCCTGGTGATCGAATATTATTCTATTTTAAATATCTAGAATACACTTCCCTTCAAAATAAAATGAACATTCTGATCCTTCACAAAACTTACCGAACTTAATTTAGCTCTCCTGGAAGTTGTTGAAATACGATACATCAACTGTTGTAACGTCTACTTAAGAAAAGGTGATAAAAGAAGAAAAAAGAACAACAAAAAGGGGTAAAAAAAGGAATAGGAACAGAAGGAAAATGAAAAGAATCTAAAAAAGAAAGTTTTTTTCGGAATAAAAAAAAGGGTGAGAAGAGTGAAAAGGAAGACTTTTCGGAAGAAACTGTCTAAATGAATGATTCGGTTTTACGAAAGAGGGAGACTATGTGAAAGGGAAAAACCGATTAGGCATTCAGGTCTTCAGGGAAAATGTCTCCAATGTGCTTATTTCTCAGCGCCACTGAAGAAAACCCCCCAAAGGTAATTTTCAACTGCTATCTTCTGTCCTTGACGGATTCTTTCAATGCACTTTGTGTCCCACCTTTCTTGAAATATTTGATCAGAGGAAATATTTAGAATCGAAATTCAAAGTATATCTAAAAAATTTTTAGCGATTGAGATTATTGCTTTTGACTCATAAAATTTAGGATAAAATGGTTTTATTATTAGCAAGACTACAGAATGAAATTTACAATATCATTTGCAGATCAAGCAAACAAATTTGTCTTATTTTTTCAAAATTCTATCTCCCTCTCTCTCTCTCTCTATATATTTTTTATTCAAATTTTTAATCGTTAATAAAATACTCTCTCTATTGATCCACTCAAATTCATGTACATTTTTTTAAACTTGTAATAGATGACACTTGATGTGTTAACAATTTTTCAAATATTAATTCAATAAATTTAATTAATGAATAAATAGAAAAAGCAAAATTAACAGTCCAACAACATATATAAGATAGAAAATCGCTCGTTGTGTCCCTGTAGTGCAATGGCTAGCACGTTGGACTTCTAATTCAGAGATCGTGGTTTCAATCTCACCTGAGATGGCTTAGATTATGGCAATGTGATTTCTTTTTACTATACTATTTTATTGGAATAATTGAATTTATTTAATGAATAAATAGTAACAAACAAAAATAATAGTCCAACACCCTATATAGAAAGGAAAATGAAAAAAATTGCAAGGAAATTCGCTTTCTATTTTGCCACTTAATTTTGTAATACCGTCATATGTATACATATATTTACTTTAATTGTAATTATTTAATAAAAAGTAACTAAAATAAAAGATTTCTTTGTTGACCTAAGTAGGAAATTGACCTTAGTGAAAAGTCCCTTTGTTAACCTGAGTCATTTTTTTTTATGTTACTTGTTTTAATTTTTGTGTGGTCTGGCAATTTGTGTTTATTTCGTCTGGATCATAATAACACAACAATATATGTACTCCTGGAGTGGTTTGCTCAATCATACAAACTGTAATAAAATAGAAACATTTAACATTAAATCAGAGTGCTTTTCAAAATTTCTATACTTGCGACCCAATTTTCATCTCCCCCATACAATAACACAACGTGTTAAATTCAATAAAAGTATACCTTGATGTAAAGCTACAATATGTATTTAATTATAAACCGTACAAATTATCAAGATAAGTATTAAGTTTAAATTTCAAGTATTAAGCTATGTATATATAACTTTATGACATGCCGATAGGGTCATTGGTAATTATTACACTTGTTCTTAACTTATATAGTACTGTTAAATTAATTATGAAACACATTCTGCAGTACTGATACATTTATAAGTGTATTATATCAGTGTAAATATGCATTTTATTTTTTATTATGTCAATGTATTTTGTTTTGTGCTTCCTTTCACAGTAAATTAATATTTTTTATTTTCGACTTTTCGATATACCCGCTCCCTCCTTGTAGGGTTATCACGACTCCCTCGGGGGCACGCCTCACAGTTTAAGAAACGCTGCATTAAATACAATTTCTATGTAGTTTCTTGAATGACTGTGAGAGATGGAGTGTTTATTTGACGTCGCATTATAAATCAACACGATGGGCAACATGGCCGTCGTAATTTTGAACCATGATCAAATGACAAAGACGATTCTTGAGCTGGCACCCCTTTAAGCTTCTGCGTCGAGCCAATGGGAAGACATCAAAACTCGACACATTTAATATGCATCGGCGTCACCACACGATTGTTCTTTAGTGACATTTGGGTCGAACTCGTAATGCCCCGGCCATGAATCCGGGACCTTGACCACTAGGCTACCACGACCAATATCTTGAATGACGTTTTCAAACAGAATACCTTTTCTCATTTCCCTTGCTAGGTTACAAACACAATTTCACGCAAAAATTCCCCCACTATCCCTATATTAACATTTTGGTACTGTTGTTTCAAAATAAACTCGGCTAATTTTTTCTTTATTCTCTGTTCAGTTCTGCTTAGATAATAATGTCTGTTTGTGTGTGAACATATTACAGTTTCTTCCTAAGGCAAGGTTCTCATATCAACGTTACAAAATTCAAGGGATTGGTTAAGAGAAAACGCGCGTGATAACTCACTACAGCACAACTAAAACACAGTTGTTTTTATCCAAATATCCGTGTAAAATTTAATTTACATTTATTTTAGACACAGTTTTTAATATAAATTACGTACAAAGTATTAAAGCTAAGCTATGCACAGAAATCTTCGATTAAAAGCAAAATATATTAATGTATTATTAGAAATTTTACAAGTAATATATTTTAATAAAAAGAAGGGACAAAAAATTAATTTTTATCCAAATATAGTATGTGCTTTCAAATGATAATAACTGTATTATAATATTTTCCTGCAAAAGCATTTAAAATGTTAATTATTTAACTTTATTATTGATATTTTCATAATAATATAACTATATTTCAAGATAATTTTGAAATCCTAGACACATATTCTTGTTTTATGTAATTTTCAATTTAGACTTTCGCAAGTCATAAATTTTATTTCAATCTTTAAATTTTTTTTTTTTATTTTTCAATTGATCAACAAAATCGATTATTCTTTTCCCGGTTTTTTTTTTTTTTTAATGAGAAAAATATTACATTGTTTATTTTTTCAAAACTAATTTAATAACGGTTTTCAGATGTGTTTCTACCCTCTGATCTTATGGATAATTTGTCATTTTTTTTAGCAGCCATGCAACCCAAGCCAATATTAAGGTATCCGACTACCCTAAAATCATGATTTTTTTCAAAAATTAACTAATTTTTTTATGATTTTATTTTATAGGACATCTTATTAGCTTACTAAAAATACCAAGTATTTCATTTTCTATTCACTAGAACAAAAACTACAAGTGTTTTAATAAAAGTAGATGCCATAACTTTACATAAGATGTCAAACATAAAAAGGCGTTTTACTCGAAATGTGTTTTTTTCGAAAAGCTCAAACGGGGACAGCGATTGCTCAAAAAGTTTTGAAAGTAATTTGCTGAAATTTGTTGTGTATATTTTGTATAACAGTATAAGTGTTTTAACTTTCAGATTTATCAATCACTGTTTTATTTCAAAATTTACAGTCCTTTATATGAATAAAATCACTGTTTTTTAAAGCAAATTCATATAATTACCAAGATAGAGTGCTCTAGTTTTTGTAAAAATTAAAATATCTCTTATCCTGAAGATCATTTCAAACATGAATAGCAAAGTAACACATCGAAATTGAAAAATTGAGAATTTGTTCATAACATTATTGTACAGAGCGGGCTCTCAGTTTATTTGATTTTTTGTACATTTTTACCAGTCTTTTCCCATTTTAATAATAATAATCTTTTTTTCTGTTTTTAGTTTTAGGATTTTTTCCTTCAAATAGACTAAAAAATCTAAAAATCACAAAAAAATGCCCATATCTCCATTTTTTCAAAAAAAAGTTGTCGCATGTAGTCGGTTACCCTACCGTTATACATTATGTCATATATTATTAACTACTCTATGCCCTTGTATAATATATAAGGCACTAGAGTTAATTTGTAGGTTCAGTTACTTTTGAGAGAGATACAAAGTAACAAAGTATTTGTGATTTTCCGTGACGAAGATATTTTTAGAATGAAAAAAGTTCTGGAAATATTTGTCAAGTTGGAATTCTCTTCCAGATAACAATCTTTTATTTTCAGGGACTGTTATCAAACATCACAGAAAACCTTTCCCAACCAGCTGCTATCTCGTCCAAAAACTTTAGCAACCCCGAAGTAAAATTCTTTTTCGGCAAAAGTCGAAGAAAAAATATTACCTTTAGAAAAGTTCTTATATTTAACTGACATATTTATTTTCTCTTTACAGAACTATCATTCAGATAGTAAAAGGAAAGATTGAAGTAGTTCGTTGAAATTCAATCAACATTAGTAGAGATAATTGAGAACTTTTAAGCAAATGTAGTATCTACGCATGTTGTACCTATTTTTTGGAAATCGCATTATTCATCAAATGAATTAGAAAAGGAATGTATTACCTATTTAGAATCTGATTAGGTTCCAAACCTTTTAGAGTATTTAACAGTTTATTTTAGTTATACATTGAAAAAAAGATATTGTAATTGTTTGACGAATAAAATCAAGTACTTCTTGAAATGCATTTAACCTTTCCATGACTAAGAAAAACATTTTTTCTCCATCATTTTGAAAGTGGTGATAGTTATATTTAATTAGAATCGTAGATGAGTTTTTTGGATACAGAATATAGAAACAGAATGTATGACGAAAACAACTGCGAAACCGGAAACGTTTAGAACAAGAGGGGACTGTTGAATGAATTGGTGCTAAGGATAAAACGTTCGTCAATTATATTCTTACCAGCTGCATGGCCCAGCGTTTTGCACCGGCTTTCTCTTTCCCTCATGACACCAGCGTTTCTGTGTGTGTGTTTGTACGCGCACAATGTGAGTGATTTTTAAAATTATGTCGAAAAATCTCCATTTTTCAAAATTTGTTCCATTACACTTATTTCTGATTTAAGACAGGTTTCTTTCCCTCTCTATAGTCCAGCATAACACGGGATTTTTTAGTGTAAAATTATTGCTCTATCTTCCTCTCCCCCTCACAGATAAGATGTAATAAATAATACAGTATAATTCATAAAGTAGTGTACACTTTCCAGAAGCTGTAAAACAGTTAAAGTCCACCTCTTTAAGTTTATGCTAGCTTCTGAAAGATGTGACGTAAGCAATAGTGGACGTGTCATGTAAATAGTCAATCGAAATGATGGTATCTGCAGTCGAAAAGGCTTTTTGGGCTCTAGAACCTAGTGAAATAGAATCCGTAACTGCTGTGCAACGGCACTTAGTAATCCAGATTTGGAAAAGAGCCTCCAAACTAGAAAATCTTTCTCATGGTATGAAGAATTTAAAAGTATGGGTTGTTTGTGCAAAAGTAAAAGTACTGGACGTAGCTGAAACAGTGTATTTCAGCCACTATCAATGGACTTGATACCTTAAGGCTGTCTTCGGTTAATGTTAAGGGATAGAACCCGAGTTAGGTAAAAATTTTTCGAAAATAAAAAAAATGAAAAATTAATATTACATCTTCGCTTCACTATCCCTTAGTGAACAATATGTTTTATCATACTTTACATTTTTGAACGAGTTGAGCCATTTTTTCCGGCATAAAATGTGTTTCGCGTTTTTTCTCCTATACCGTAATGTTAAATAAGCTGTCCTTTCCCGTGTTAAGATGAAAAAAATAATATTCACGGAATATTTTGATATCTAAGAAACGCTATATTGTTAACAGATGTATGAGTTATAATGTTGCCAAATTGAGGCATTTTTCTGTCTGAAAATGTGCTCAGCGTTTAATTCAGGCTTTCGTACATTTAACGAAAACCAGCCTTAACACTAGAACGTCCGTCGGTGTCAATTGGACACCGGAGCCTGTTTACCTTGTTCTCCTCTTCACATTTTTAAGGGAATTTGAAAATTTCTCGTGATTTTTAATCAATTTCTCTGGTGATTACACAAAAAAAGTTTTGTGGTTCTAGGTTAATTATAAGAG